TCTACCTTGATGACGATGGAATCATCAGACAGAAAGGACGATTGCAGTGCAGCCAAGAATTCAACAAGCACGTAATAGTAATTCCAAAGGATGAGCATTTCACGGGACTGCTATTACGTCACGTGCATAAAATGGTATCACACGGAGGAGTTCAAGTGACGCTAGCGCAACTTTGATCTAAGTTCTGGATATTGCAGGGTAGACAAGCAGTGAAAAGAGTTCTAAACAAATGTGTCGTCTGCAAGAGGCATAACTCCAGACCGGCGACTCAAGACATACCTCCACTTCCGGCAGACAGAGTCACTGAAGTAGAGCCATTCAAAGTTACGGGAGTTGACTTCACAGGACCTCTTTACGCAAAGGACAAGTACCAGATTGTGAAGCAATATGTACTGATATTCACCTGCGCGGTAACAAGACGAGTACACTTGGAAGTTACCAACGATTTGTCATCATCGAGTTTTATACAAGCACTCCGACGATTTACAGCTCGACGGGTAAAAGCAGCAGTAATATACTCGGACAACGCCCAAACATTTATAAAAGCTGGAAAAGAAATCAACAGAATGCTCGAAACAATTAAAAACGAGGTCTTAAATAATTACTGCAGTGGCCAACGAATTCAATGGAAAACGATAGCCGAGTGCGCGCCATGGTGGGGAGGATTTTACGAGCGCCTCATAAGAAGCTTGAAGACGTCGATGCGAAAAATAATATCGAAAAGCACAGCTTCAGTAGGGGAGCTACGCACTATTGTAGCAGAAGTTGAAGGAACACTCAACAATCGACCATTGACTTACGTATATGGAGAACCTGACGATCCAATGCCACTAACGCTGGCAGACATCATAGGTGGACGGCGACAGCTTCAAGACGGACAAACAAGACTGTACAACGGTGGCATTGAAGACGCATGGCGACGCAGATGCAAACTAGTGCGCGCTTGGTAGAAAAGATGGCATCAAGAATATATCAAGGAAATAGGAGCTACGGTAAAAGCCAAGACACGGCAAGCAAAACCACTCTCACAGGGTGACATCATGTTGGTTGAGGACAAGGCTCCAAGAACATTTTGGAAAACTTGCCGGATTGAAAAACTCTACCCTGGGCGAGACGGAATAACAAGAGCTTGTCTCCTTCACACAGGCAAAAAAGAGCTTCTAAGAAGATCGGTGAACCACATATACCCAATGGAAGGTTGTTTCAAATAGCCCGCGAGAGCTTATCACATTTCAACTTGGGCGGGCGGGAGCCTATAAAATATCATCATCAAACGCCGGAAGAAGAAGAAGGAAGACTGCTGCCTAGAGCGAGCGCGCGCTACTTCGCTTCTTCCAATAAACCGTATTCGTTCGAAGCAGTCCCTGGTCTCGATCGTCTTAATAATGGAGGAGTATAATGAGTGGTTAATTGCGTTTCACAAAGCTTTAATCAAAGTGGTTGTTATCGAACCACAGGCAGTCACATATGTCGAAGCCGAAGCCAAATTGTCGGTGGAGAAAGTTCCGCTGATAGCAGGCGTTCACCCCGACGACTCCCGACATCATCACGTTGACGCTGTTGTGCCCACAACACCGCTTGTTCTTCGTGGCGTTGTTGCAAGCGTTTGACAACGCGAGCGAACTTGTCAGCCTGGTTTAAACAATCCGCCCGCCATCGGTGCTTGCATTCCCGTTAGCTATATAGTGCGGCTTGGAAGGCTGCCGGATGATCAGTGTGCAGTTGCTGCCAGCACTCGGCCTTTCGGGCCTGTTAGTCTCCCTGGACTGCATCATCGGCCCGGCGAATGCAAGCTCTTTCACGTTTCTACTGTCAGCGTGCTTCTAGAGTGGTCCATGGCTTTTCAATGGGGAAGTTCTCTTTAGAAATAGGTGCACGCGATCTCGGAGCCACGGCTGTGACGGGATGGACGACGTCACCTACAACGCAGCAAATGGTGCGTGTGCATGGGTACGGCCCTGAGAACGACGTAAATAATGTAGCCCTTAATCTTGACACGGATAGGTTTCTTTGACCGAGAACTCTAACACCATGAGATTCAAACCCTAGCCACCCTAGTTAGACTGTAGTTTTTTTTCTTTACGATGGTGCACGCCACACCCTCCTGAGCAACCATAGGTGTGCGCAGAGTTCCCCTTTAGGGGGGGATGAATGTCCATCGCAGGGCTCCCCCTAATAATCCAACAAATTGGCAGACTTTGCTCCCCCCACCATCCGCTTCCCCCGTGCTATTTTCTGTGTATGTACCGAATGGTGCTTGGGGTTGCACTGTTTCATTAAATGTGAGTCATTTCCTTGTGGACTGGACGCACTTTTCGCATATCTATCTATCTATCTATCTATCTATCTATCTATCTATCTATCTATCTATCTATCTATCTATCTATCTATCTATCTATCATGCGCCTATGTATGAGTGCTCTCATGATTGTCTTCTCAACTTCGGGTAGACCAAATGAGTATGCGATAAGAGGCCTCGACGAATACGTCTGGCTGCTCATGACATAAATTACGCGAAAATCCCGTCAGTACGTCGTCAAACCCTTTCTTTCAGACAAGAGTGGCTCGTACCCGTATGCGACGGGCAGTGTGCGGGTATGTGCCACAAGTGGTTGACAGTTCATATTGGCCCAAGAACGGCAAAAAAAAGAGAGTGGTAATCTAACTGCGAGAGCATTAAGAACCTCAAATCAGCAGCGTTGGTGCGATGAATACGAAGAATAAATAGCATCTGAGGGTCCCAGTCGGAAGTTAACCCAAGGATTCTGCGTGGCAATCATATATTCAATCACAGAGCCTCACCGGGTGTCGAAACGGCTTTGGAAAAATACGCTATGATACCGTCATAATGTTGACGAAACGTCAATTGTGCATGTAGTGCGGCTATCTAATTTTACAAACAAAATACGAGTGTGGTCGTATGATAGGTGTCACATTGGGTTAATGTCACCTGTATAACTAAGTACCATCCCCTGAGGTCGGTCTACAAAGCACTAGCCATGACTACTATGCTCGCATGCAGAAGCGCTACGTATCACCTTGTATATATCATCTGTTAAACACAATATCAATGAAAACTAACAGAGAACGATGCCAAGGAAAGTACAGGGGTCATCCCCTTCTCCCATTCACTCAGGACACCACTTTCAATAATGTTGATTCCAAAATTAAACGGGTGCAATTTACGAAGATTGTATTGTCATGTTTCTTTACTGCGCAGTCACATTGAGATATCGCAACTCTCTCTGCGATAAAGATAAGTCAGCCACACTCACGGAACGATCACGACTTTCTATAACATCTTTTCTTAAATTAATAATCTGTTTTACTTATCTCGACTCTTGTCAATCACAGAGCATGCGTGCGAATCACAGCAACTAAACGTGACATTTCTGTCTGCGTAAATAGCACCCATTTTTTTTTCTTTTTCGTCCGTCGTCTTTATAGCGTCTTCTAATTGGAATCGCTTTAATACTCATGTTGTTATCATAGATTCGCTACTGTAAACAAGTTGTTATAAAAACACAAACGAGGCTGTTCAATATGTCTGTACGTACAGCATTTGTAACATCTTTAGCGTCATTTGATAACATGCAGCTCAATGAAAAAATTACACCGCAGTCACCTTGAATCCGCATGTTTCTCATGACCTTGATTTCCATAGTACAATTCATGGGATCTGCCGGATTCTCGCCTGGGTGAATTTTGCCCCAGAAACACTACGGTGGTTGCTCTCATTGTGCGACCGATGGAACTAACTGTGCCCACCTTGGTAGTCTAGTAGTTATTACCGCAACGCCGTAGTGGTCTAGTGGCTAAAGTACTCGACTGCTGACCCACAGGTCACGGGTTCGAATCCCGGCTGCAGCGGCTCCATTTCCGATGGAAGCGAAAATGTTGTAGGCCCGTGTGCTCAGATTTGGGCGCAAGTTAAAGACCCTAGGTGGTTGAAATTTTCGGAGCCCTTCACTACGGCGTTTCTCATAATTATATGGTGGTTTTGGGACGTTAAAGCCCACATATCAATCAATTAGTAGTTATGACAATTGACTACTAACCTGAAAGTCACGGGATCGAAGCCCAGCTGCAGCAGCTGTATTTTTTATGGAGGCAAAAATGTTTGAGGCTCGTGTATCAAGATTTAGGTGCACGTACACCAGGTGGTCAAAATTTTGGAGCCCTTCACTACGGTGTCTGTCATAATCGTACCGTGGTTTTGGGACGTAAAGCCCCATAAATTATTTTTATGGCACCAATTGTCTCCTTGTAACTTTCTCTCTAAGTCTGCCCGCACAATAACTGCATTCATTCTTCCCGTTTTTGCATATCGGCAGCCTGTCATCGCCCATCATAACTTCAGGACATGGCACCTTTTTTGTCCTGCCCTGCATAAGGTGCCCCACTCCTGGGTCGCCCTCGCGGCCATTACACATGCGCAGGCGTGAGTTATCGGTAAATTCAATAACACGGCAGCCTTTGCGAGCCGTTCGTGGCAATTCTAGGATTCGAAGGATCGAAAAATATCTTTTGTCTATTTCATAAACTTCTAAGTTTAACGAAATAATCCTAGCGTGGTTATTATTTTGTTGAACTCAGCGTCGACTTCTCCGAAAGGCGAATATAGAAAGAGAGAAAAGTGAAAATTTTAGCATGAATTTTTCTCCATCTCACGTAAGAAACTAAAATGTGGCGTTGGGAATATACTACTACGTAAAAAACCTGGAGTGACAGCACCAAAGGTGTGGACCACTGGTATAGATTATTCCAGGCTTAACTGAAACTAAATACCAGAGACATGTAAAACATATGTGTTCTTAGCAAGTGACCCTCCCAACATCTATAACGCAAAGTGAGGTGTCAAAACATCAGCCGCAATAGTTACCAAATAAAGGCCTACGGGGAACTGCGCATGCGCCAAGGCAGTTATACCAGACCTGTAATTACTATGGTTCGTTGAATACCTCAACAGTTCAATTGAAACGCGTAACCATCGCTGCGAACTAAGGACTTTTCAGCCTCGCCTTGCCTGCTTGTCCCGTAGCGCATGCGTACGTGATCCAGCCGAGAGATAAGGCCCAAGCGTTCTTGTGCAGGGCCGAGTACAGCGCCGCCACGCCCCTTGATGGCAGCTTCATGTTGTTCCAGGGCCACGACGCGAACACTACCACGGTGGTGCAGCACAGCGCTAGAGCCCACAGCAGGCACCTAGAACACTGCAGCAGGGAGGCAGTTCAGAGAGCATCACATGACTATCTGTGGGCGCGCGTTTGTGCAGCCATCTTTAATACTAACCTACCAGTGTACAATGCCATCCCACAAGAAGAAGAGTTGTTGAGGTTTAGCTCTGACCGTAGATGTTACTTGCACAAATAAAACAACACGTATACTATGTTATTGAGGTAAAAGTTAATTAGCCTATTAGTAATTCATAACTGGTTTTATTAGCTATTCAGAACTGAAAACTTCTTTCTGCCTAATAATAACGCTATGCACTTTGTGTTACGTTTTAGCGATGAAATGTGCATTTCAGTAATGAATGTTGTATCTAGTGCCATCATTTTTAATTGACCAACAAATATGGAAACTAGAAAAGATGCCCTAGAGATTTATAATGAGACTGTATTCGAAAAAATTAGATCAATTAACATCGTCACTCGCCTTCCATTTTCTCCACACTCAGTAAAATGCATATAGCCTTCTCAGGCGAGTTAGTCTGAAAATTCACTGCAAATCCAGAAAACCTTTTTTGGCTCAACACTCTCATATGAAACACAGTCAAGACGCAGGAAGGTGTTAGGTACACAATAGGTTAGAAAGTTATGTACAGAATATTAATAAGGCAACACATTAAACAAATCTTTCTCAAAAGTTGCTGTCTCTGTACATAAGAACAATAGACAGGTCGCTTTAAATGTTGTAGTGCGTGTGGTACAATAGTGCATAGTATACAGGGAACTGTTTTCGAGCAATAAAATTGAGGAAGTTTCTGAATTCTGTTGTAAGCGCCTGCCTTGCGTCTCTGCCTACTGGCGCTAGACGTATTTCGCTATTCAGAATATTCCAGAATGCCCAAGATACGACAACACATAGCTTGTCTGAAGTGCACTGTACCCTATAACACACTTTATTTCAGTGCCATATTTATCTTACTTGCTCCATCTTTAAGAATTTTTGGCAGTTTACAGACAAGGATCCGCTATCGCAAAGCCAGTGTCACCCCGGAGTCGGTTTTATTCGAGTGTTACTTTAGTAATGACAGGCAGTAGTTCTCAAACTTCGGTATCTGACGTAAAGTGATGAATCCCACAGTTAATCGGTAATATTTATTAATGAATTAAAATATTTATTTTGATTTTTAAAGTAGGAATGCATGCCTTTGAGAGTAACCTGAATGACGTAGAATTAGGTTGCACGCAAGCGGTGATTCATACGAATATTTTGTTAACAATAAAAAAGAACAAAATTATCTACTTGTTTTTAGTGATAAATTCATAACAATATTCATCTTTTGAAGAGAATGAAGTTTATTTTTTTTAGTATCACCCAATGTTCCTTCAACGTGAGCGTTTTACAATAACGTAAGGTATTTCTACTCCTCGATTATTTATCACTGCTTACAAACAGTTCCCTAATTTTCTTATTACTCACCTACAGCATTTCAGATTACAAATGTAACACTTTAGAGCAGTTAGTAGATATGAACTTCATGATAGCCGTAGCGGACGGAAGAACAAAGATAAAATAAAGACGTGAAGATCCTTTTTTTTTTTCAATTCACTTTTGCCCGAGCACTACACGCAAATGAAGGATTCGAGACGTGCACATGGGGACGCAATACCCACAAGAAATGTTTCAAAAGTATCGTTCATGTTATGAACGCAGTCCTAATTGGAAATTCGCCGTTGTCGCAGCCGCATTACCGCGCGAAAGGGAACGTACCCCTCGCGCCAGCCATCACTTTTTCCCGCCGGAAGTATGAGGTCGTTAACCGTGTAGCACTGCGTCCCGCACGATCAAGGCACGGGCCGGTAACTGTAGACTGCACTAATTTCTATGCCTGCACAGTGTCTATTCGGCGGCATCATTGGAGGAGTCACGTCGTAAACGTGACCACGACTGCGAAAGCTGCGCCTTGCCTCCGCACAGACAGATAACAGCTGTAATAAAACGCAACAAAATGGATCTTCCGCTTCTGCCGAAGCTGATGAGGCTCGTTGCTGTCAATCGAACAAAATATCAAGCAACGACGCGACGCGAAGCAACTGGTTGTTTGTCTCGTGCCTTGACAAGAACTACCCTGCTTCGGCGGATGGCTGCCTAACGTCATTAGAGCTGAGGAGGGCAGTGACAAGACGCGCGTTTTGTCGTCTATGTATCCCATACCTCGTACAGCATTTTCTTTGTGTCACTGTTTGGTGTCTCTCGTGTGGGAAGAGAGCTCTGGTGCGGCTGTCTGTCTTTGAAACAGAACACAGGATATCCCCGTGGTTCATGTTTTTTTGCTATAAACTATCGCTGTCTTGCAACAAATCAAGCTATCACGCTTTATCGATTAAGCACTGTGCAGTCTGGATAAAACTCTGGCATTGAGGCTATTTTCATTTACTGTGAAAATACTGGGTAATAGGCATCATTATCTCACTTTTTTAACAAGAAAGTGTTTATGCCTTTGTTCAGGAATCGTGCTTTTTTTATTGGAAGAATACAGCATCTTTGAAAATAATTCACAGTGTCTCCTTATAAGGCGTTCTAATCAGCTGTACTGCTAGGGACAGATTGAGAAATAAGGATCGATTGCGGCAACGCCTTCGGATTTGGCCTATAATAGTTTGTTCAAAAACGTCATAAGAAACTTCTCCCGTGGCAGATGTGTTACTATCGAACTGGTTAAATAAAGACAAATCCAAAAATCTTTAGACCGCTACAGACTTTGCACTCAGCCATACTATGATACAGTATGTTGGGCTAGTTAGTATACCAAAGAAAGTAGCGGGGAGAAAAAGCCCATGGAGAGGGTAGACAGGTAACTTCAAAAAATAAAATAAACAGCGGTACAGAAATGAGAACCAGATTAGAAAATTACAAACAGAACCTGAATAAAAACACGCCAGGCCTGCGCTGAACGCACAGCACTGTGACAGTGAAAGCTATAAGAGCGGCCTTTCAGAGCCTTTCTTAACATTCTTTGAGTAACTGCTACAAGCACACTTCCTTGGTACCCAATACGCCATAAATAATCATATTTTTTGTGTAGTAGGCCAGCATTCACTATGCTATCCTTTGTCATTCTTCTGAGAAGCGTGGTATTTGCTACACACTTGCTAGAAATATTGTGAAGTATTTTCATGCAGTAGCAGAAGACGATGAATAATTACGCCTGAAGTGACTGTGCACCACACTTAATAGGTGAACAAGAACAATTTTTTGCAATGGGTTGTACCATTGGACGACCCACTGTTTACGCGATTCGCATTGTGTGACGCCTGGTTGTTGATTTGATGTTCTAAAACGCTTTATTACTCATATTAGCGCAATTCTTTTCCCGCCATCAAGCGTGACTAAGGCCAGTTTTGAAATGAGTTTCAAGTGCCAGCGTGGCTCAGTAGTACAATACTGGGCGTGCCCAAAGCGTACTTGGGTTTGAATCTCATTGTGTTCTTTATGCTTTTTTTTATTTACTGAGGGGTTTTTTTTTTGTGTCTTGTGACATTGGTTGTGCACACCGGTGGCGGCGGCGGCGGACAACTACACGGCGCCGCAAGTGACGTGTGTTCTGATCTCATAACAGCTTTCGCTCTAAAAAGACAAAGATCATGCAGAAAAGGAGATTTAAACAACTTTCTTAAAGCTATAATGAGGTCATGGGATCAAATTGAGAAAAAACGGAAAGAGTTGAAATATATCGGCCTTTTTAATGCAAACGACATAGTTTTGTTGTGAACTCCTTGACTCAAGAACGGCAAACAACCTAGAAAAATTTTGAACTTACCCTGCTTGGACGCCAGTGCTCACTGTGCAACGTGAATAAAGCGCAGAAGATACCAATGGCAAAAGAGCCGAAGTGGATCAGTGGCATCGAATATACCATTTCGCCTGTTTCTGTAGATTTGCTGAAATGTTGCCAAAAAGGAGAAAAAGTTAGAGACGTAAGCGAAAATATCTAGGTTAGATACGTTACGTTGAACTAAAATCGCCCTGACATGCATTGCCCAAGCATACGCACGCGTGCGCGCCTCACGCAAGCAAAAGCTATATAGATATTTTGTAAGGAACGTGAATCTAAAGGTTGCGTAAGTGTTCTTTTTGCTGCGCTAAAACTTTTTATTCCCATTGAGGAAGTCCTATTGTTTACGCACCAATTACAAATCAATCAAGAAGCGCTGAAAATTCAATATAACTGGAATTCAATACGAGTGAGTGTCACTCGTCATGCTTGTGATCGCGAGTTTACTTACTCCGTATCGGGATTCCAGAAGAGTATTATAGGCTGATAATTGTAGTGGAAAGTCTGCGCCATAACAATTCCTGAAGAAGCCACGCTCAGCAAGACAAGTATGATTGCCCCAAATTTGATATGCCTGGAAAGTAACAGGACGGGAAAATTGGTAGAAATTAGAACTGCATCATTCGTCAATGTCACTTTTCATTCTTTCTTTAGTCGCTATTTTTATTCACTATGGTGGACAAAAGAATCACCTCGTCATCAACACGCACAGGACAGACGCCACCACAAAGATCTGCATGTCCACGCTGATGTACCAGTAGTGGTCCAGGCACTGCGAAATGGAGTTTTTATTAAATGGTACTGGTTTGTTTTTAGCAAGGCATGGCCTATGTGACTTGGCTTTGACCGCTTTGAGGAATCGGGTGTTTCTCTGGATCTTCTCTACAACGCGCTAATAAAACTCACAAACATTTATGTTTTTTTTTGTATCAGCCCTTCGTATTCAAGACTATCGTTGGATTCAGCTAAATAATGTCAACTCTGCAGTTTTAAATGCTTCATTTTTCACTAAACATGATACGAAAGAGCTTGTAGGAAGCTTCTTCTGAATTTTGAAAAATGTGCCTTGTTGGCGTACAACTGGTGGATTTCACTGATACTGAATCCGGCCGTTTGATCACACGTGTCTTTTCATGGTGTAATCTTACTCTACGCACGCAAAAACCCTTGCGAGACGCTGGTTGCAGGAAAAAAACTGCAAGGCGCAAAAACTGATAAAGCAAACAGGATATCAGAAAGGACCCATCACACTTCATGTTGTCAGTTATTAAATAAAACGAACCAATGATGGTAATGATCAGTGGGTTTTTTCAACTCGTGTACAGATAATGTAGAACTATGGCTTTAATGAAGGAGACAGCCTATACGTGTAACCCTTTACCTGATTCGAGGGATTGCTTCAAAGACTCTATAGGACAGATATGACGACGCACTTGGACAGAACCATCTCCTAGCCAATGATCTTGTATGATGACTAGCATCTTCGGTTTACTGAGAAGCAACATGAGAAGCAACACGATAAAGTCTAGTCTATCAAGAGGCGTCAGATCTGGACCATTAACGTGCATGCACGCGAGACAGTGGGAGCTAGTCACGTCTCTCAGGACAGTGTCGTTTCCAGCGGGTGGCACACTGGGCGCGTGCATTTCGCGATTTTTTTCGTCATGGCATACATTGCACAAAATAACACTCGACTGCATATGTCTACCCGGTCCCCACTTCGAATCAAAATGGTGTCCACTCCCCTCCCAAAAGAACTTTCTGCCTTCACACCTGTCTTCAGACTATTAATAAAGTTTGACCAACCAACCAACCAACCAACCATCGTGTGACACCTTTTGTCAAACGAAAAAAAAAAACCACCTATAGAAACATAATACACCCTTGATCAAATGCGAACTTCACAAATAAGAGGATTGCTTCATATGCTTGATCATGTCCGTGCTTTCACCGCTTTTATTCAGCTCCCCAAAGCCTATACTCAACAAGTACAGCAAAGACTACCCGAGTAAAACTCATTTGATCCCAAATCAGCCAGTTTGCTGATAAAAATCCTGTGCTTTAGAACGTCAAGTGGCTTTGCACAACCGTACTCTAAAAGACTTACTTAGCGTCAAGTTTGATGTTGCTCAACCATTTATAACTAAGCCTGTATTGAAGACCACGTCAGGTTGCTTACTAAATACAGCACGACTCATGAAATGAGCGTGATGGCATTTGAGACTGCTCTCCTCGTTACTCTTGAAGCCATATTTCCAATAGCGACGTTTACACTAATATTACTTTTGTTTACCCCAAAATTAAGCCCAGTTATACATTTCTCCTAAGGTGATATTTTTGACACTTCTGGTCCATTTCGTGAACCACAGCAGTCACTTATGCTTCGCTACTTTTCCCAATCTTAGTAATTATTATCCCGCTATGTATGTATCGCCTATTTTCCTATTATCAACTGTCCTTGTTACTGCTAATGTGATAATAATAATAATAATAATAATAATAATAATAATAATAATAATAATAATGAGTTTTACATTCCGAAACCATGATATGATTATTAGAGGTGCTGTAGGGCTCCGGAAATCTTGACCATCTGGTGTTCTTTAACGTTCACTGACATAGCACAGTGCACGGGCCTCTAACAATTCGAATGCACCGAAATGTGACCACCACGGCATCGAACCCATGACCTTCGGGTCTGCAGCTGATCACCAAAGCCTCTCATCCACCACGGTGAACGGGGTTACAGCTCGAGTAGTCTCACAAGATTTCCAAGAAGTTAAGTATACTTACAATTTCTTCGTACTTGTTGAAGTTGTTGATGTGCACTAGCACGGTCCACCAGTTTTTTGAGCAGCCGTTGTAATATTTCGAGAGGTGTTCTTCAGCTAACGGTCCATGGACTAACTTTGGTAAGAGAAAGAATGCCAGAACAACAACCATAGCAGGTATCGTCGTCCTGAAAAACGAAAGAACGACGAAACCCTAATTCAGATCACGTCGCGAAACACAGTGACATTTTGAACAATATAACCAAGCATTATTGCGCAATGATTATTGGTCCTTATGTATGCAAACACGATACTACGTGATCCATGAATTGAAACGTTCACAACACTTTAAAAAGCCTTGCAAGGTATCACAATGCAAAAAAAAATTGCAAGTAAAATTTGCAAGTACCAACCTGCTTTCGGATTACTAATTTATTCGTTCTCACAGCATGGTGTTATTTTTTTCTTTTTTATATTTTATTACGTTGTTTACCTTTTTTGTCGTTTCTCGATTGGCATATTACCAAAGGGGAGGTTTAGAATAATTTAATCGTGGGGAACTTTGCTACATGTAGGAACAGGTTTATCGCTCAACGATATGAAATACACAAACTTTAGCTTCTGAACGTCTACCGATAAGTATAAACTTTACAAAAAAGTCACAGTTTCGCCAAAGGAGTGAAACAACGAATGCGATAGCAGCGAATTGTAATGTTATACGATGTGATGCTGGCAGGTAAGTCCGCTGGATCCGATATCACACCACTCTACAAAACGCTGGTGTAAGAGGAGACGGCTGCTCCAGGGATGCTTTTCGCGCAGTCTTTTCGCGTTGAGAGTACCGCACGTAAAAAGTGGTGCGAGGCGTCCGCTGATGATTGACCAGATAATGAGATAGCGCATGCGCAATGGCGACTGCACCCGTAAAATCAAAGTTCACAATTGCTGCATGAGCACCCCCCCCCCCCCCCAATCGCGTCTTTTCATGTTCGTTAAGAACGGGTGGGACGTTTCCCTCTCTGCTTGAGCATTCGATGATCGGTCTGACAGGTGGAGGGATCTTGTCGCATACGCCCTTCCAGCGTCGAAGAAGGGCTGGCCACTTTGACACCTGCATCAGTCGCGTTCGTCCTCTCGCTCGCCCGTAATTACCCGTGGGTAATTGATTGACTGATATGTGGGGTTTAACGTCCCGAAACCACCCTATGTATATGAGAAACGCCGTAGTGGAGGGCTCCGGAAATTTCAACCACCAGAGGTTCTTTAACGTGTACACAAATCTGAGCACCCGGCCCTACAACATTTCCGCCTCCATCAGAAATGCAGCCGTCACAGCCGGGATTTGATTTCGCAACCTGCGGGTCTGCAGCCGAGTACCTTAGCCACTAGACCACCGCGGCGGGGCAATTACCCATGGGTAAAGTGTACGATGTACAAGAGGATATTATAAATTTCGACTTTCAAAAAGACATGCCAGCCACAGTGGCACCAAAAACCCGTCAAGATGGCCCACATGACTGCTTCCGCAACAATATATTTTTAAGACAAACTGCAGTGCTACAAGACTGGCTGTAATGGTGTATAGTTTCGCTGAACCGATGCGTTTTTAGAGTAAATCGTATAAGAATGACGTCCACTCTAAATTTATGCGCTTATGAGTTCATCGCATCTTCTTTTATAAGTAAATAGAACGAAGTGATTAAGGATGCATCACCCAACGTACAACCTGCATCACATTTTACTTAATTTTACCAATTCGCTTTATAAGTATAATCGTCGAGGAGTTCTATGTTTGTTTCAGTAGAGGTACATATACAATGTTTCACAAATGCAAACTGTTCTTTCTGTTTTTTCAATCATCAGACATACAAATACCTCGCCTTTCACGCTATCGCTCAGCGTTCAATTGGAATGATGTGCCAGTGGAAGCAAAACAGAGTAGGAGAACGTTACCACAAGGTGCCTAACAACCTCCGATGCTCGACTCACAAGTGCATTTGTGGGCGTTTTTCTGAACAGTCATTTATTCATTTTTTTACCTGAAGTAACGACGTACGATGATTACAATGACTTGAATGCAAGCATTTCTCTTGCGCAGTGAATTGCGTCTCTGTAAAAGCGCATATCCCAGGAGAAATCCACTGCAAAGGAGAAAAAAAAAGAAGTGTAACATGTCTTTTTTCAGCCACGTATAGATTATCTATATAAAGAATCAGGTACCTGACGAAGATGAATGTGGACACACATACGAAGCCGTTTGCAACCACTTGGAAACGTAGTGATTCCGTCAGTTCCACTGCTCTAAACATTGAATCTAGAAGTACATAAATAATTAGCGTAGTCATATCAAATTATCCAGGTAATAACAGTTTTTCTCACTAAAAAGCCAGGCCTATAAGAAAAAAATCCTTTCTGTACTGAGCAAAAACTTCTTGAAGTGACTGTTCCGAGTGGCGACATCTATACTTCCTAGGACTCACTCCGTAAGCGTTTGCGGCTAGAAATCTGGATGCGTGCAGAGGTTAGGCAATGTCGGCAGAAGCGGAACAAGCAAATACCTTCTAAATAACAAAATGCCAGGGCATTTTAAACTTTGTCGTGTTGTGGGTAGAACTATTATAACGGTTGTATAATCTTGGTTATATATGTTTTAGAAAGTGAGCCATGCTCACATGAGCTCAACATGGCATTTAATTTCTTCTGATTTAGCATCTACACGAGGAAATGAAACCTATACTGCTTACAGACTCTTCTATTTTCATTTGAGTGCATGTGTTTATGAACACAGAACAGTGTGATGACGTATACAATGTAACCTCTAATGAGCAGCCTGTGTAAACGTTCCTTTCTGTTGCAACGTTTCCTAGACCAATGCTTTTCGTATCCTGTCATCAAGAGTATTATTGCAAGGTCTTTTAACGAAACCTTGTACTCCCTACTTCCCGTGTAAATAATGAAAAAATTGATGGTACTAACATTTATTTTCATACTGCAATGAATAAAGAAACAGAAGAGTGTCCAAAAGGCTACTTTAAACTGAAACGCAAGATCTACGAAGTGGTATTTTCAATGCAAGAGGTGCTTCTTCTAAAGTTCTGCTCCTCCTAAAGTCCGTCCCTCCTACCGGATATAAGTGTAACAAGGAAAAGAAATAGGTCGGATAAAGCGCAGCATGTTTTTTCTACATGTGGTTAACTTTTTAATGTACCACGTTTCAGACGTGGTGCTTGGTAGGAGCAGTTGCCCACAATTCTGTCAGTGCTGTAGACCCACCTGCACCGAAGAAGGCCGCCCCTCTTCGCACACGAGCATGTTGCGCTAAGAACGTCCTTACGTATGCTTGAGCAAGCTCGCAGCCAGAAATTTTTTTCGTGGTGCGCGTTTGTTGAAGCCTTAGAAAAACTAGTTTCTATCTATTCTATGTAAAACACCTCCATATTCGAATTTCGGAAGGGCGACAGCGCCCTTAGGGCACCCCCCTGGCTACTGGCCTGGCTATATATATATATATATATATATATATATATATATTATAATGGTGTCATGAACTGGTACACATTCAAAAGGCGAAGTATATAAAAAAAACGCACTGATTTTATTTGGGATAACAGTGTGTGTAGCCTTACCAACTGCGTCTGCGTGCACACAGTAATAAGCGTGAGATAGAACCACCCACAGCGCACTGAAGAACTTCATGCCATGGAGAAACCGCAGTCTCTGGCTGTCTCCACTTTTAATTCTCAGGTCGAGGAGCTTCCTCGTGTTCGACACTGCGGAATAGGCAACGGCAAGCTTCTTCCAAGGTGCCACCGGCCTCTTCTTGGTGTGATCTCTTTCGCATTTCGTGAGCATTAGGTCAGCGAACGTGCTCAATATTATCACGATGAACACAGCACCAAAAAACGAGCTGAAAAGAGAAAGTCGACATCGGACAATATTACTATTAGTGCGATAATAATTAACTAAATTTGTACCAATATCTACAATATCTCTAAATTAATATTAAATATCAACATATTTCATTCTGATCTTTCCTGAACGGTCATCGCACGTCGGCGTAATAAGACACAGCCGTTTTTGTTGCTCCTTGGCTATTTTCTTTTATCTTACAATACTGGCATAAGCAGTGCTCTTTATCGGGTGTAGTACTTTTACGGGTACACATGAATCCACTTAAAACACCGTGACTACGTCACCGTGTAGCACATGGAGGACCATTATTCCGGATGACATGTAAATGCTGGAACACTAAAGCCATTCATCGCTTAGTCATGACCTAAATATAGCGTTGTGAAGAGGCTTTGCACTTTAAAAGTTCCATCCCCAGAGTCCACCTTCGGGATGTGTATGAAGCATGATTTCGTAATACGTCCCACAATTTGTAATTTGTAATTTTTTACAGGTTTTAAATCTACCTCCTTATTTGCGTAGTGCTCCTGAAGCTTCAAGTTTTCGTGTAATGTGCCCCTGATCATTTTCCACCGTAACATATGCTTGCTTTATTCGCAAAGCCCTAACGCACGACCATTTGAGTTTTTTTTGGAATCATTTCCTTAAAAATCCTTCATTTTACTCGTACAGTGGGTACAGTACAACCGCCACCGTAATAGTGAAATAAGGTTTCCAGCGTCTGGAGAATAACATTAGGTAAATATAGACTGTTACGATTACAGCATGAACTGACGCCACATCAAGCTACTGCGCACACAGTTTGCATGACATCTTGCTTCAAATAGTGTGATCGGGCCTGCCTGCGCCATAAAAATACTAAACCCCTTCCCCTTTCAATCAAACAAATTAAGTCAGAAATATACATCGAGCGCTGCAGCCTATTTAAACTAAATTTGTACCTGTAGGCCTCCTTTTATGTTAGAAACATGATTCCTCATGTACACTCTGAACAATCATAAAAAAACTATCAATTCGATGACGTTCCTTGTCTTTAGAGCAAGGCTGTCTGTACATCTTATGCAACGATGAACGATGAAATATTGTGAATGGAGGCGTGTTCGTGATGCATTATGAATCAGCCTGCGCACAATAACGTCCAGGACACAGAACAAGAACACAGGACAGCGTTGACTCGCAAAAATGCTGAGATCCATTTGTTCGCATATATGGAATCGGGCACTTTATCGCGAATGTCAAAGGCAAACACTTCTCATCACTTTGGAAAGACCGACTGCGAGAATTATATTTCTTATGACATAACGGGATAAACGCTGAACTAACATATTATTCACCCAACGTCTGAGTCACTTAAAGGGACGGTAAAGTCAAATAGCTGGGTGCACGTTAAAGAACCCCAGGAGGTCGAAATTTCCGGAGCCCTCCACTACGGCGTCTCTCATAATCAAATGGTGGTTTTGGGACGTTAAACCCCACATATCAATCAATCAATCAAGTCAAATAGCAATTTACGTCAGAGTGAAAGCTCAATGTATGATATCTAAAACGACAATCTTATCAATAACAGTGCCCTACTTACTGAGAAATTAAAGTAAATGCACAAGAACATAAACGCTGAAGTGTGACATTTTCGAAATAATCCCAATGACATCAGACGAACCACCTACAACTGATCACTAGTAATTGATCTAACTGCACTAAATAAAGAATATTGCGAGTATTAAAATACGCAATAAAATGCTGCTTGTTCGTTTCTGTTTGATTCCTGAAAAAAAAAACTGCACTAAACAAAGAACATTGCGAGTATTAAGAGACGCAATAAAATGCTGCTTGTTCGTTTCCGTTTGATTTTTGAAAAAAAAAAAGAACCGCTGAACGTTACTATGGGAAATGGCGCGAGTGGTTCTGAAGTTCAATTTTTGCAGGGTTACACGGCACATCTGGTGCTATCTAGCGGAGCTCAGTTGAAACAAAGGCGTCTGCCATCTCGAAGCCAATGGAGGGAAATTGATCAATGACCGTTGCTGCTGCTGTGGCTCCCTCTGCTTTCGGTCTGCTGCTACTAGCGCAGTAAAGCCGTGTAACGTTGTGCACGGCAACAGTGACGTGAGACGGTGCGATGGATCCGCTTCTTGAGGCTGGTAATTTGAAGTGCGCAACCCTCGATGCGAAGCACAAAATCGTGTATATTTCAAAATAGGCCGTTCCTTGGCACAAAAGTAACACTACGAGATTTCTGGACCGCCGTTTCAACAATGAACGTTGATTTATTAGTTCACTTTAGTGTCCTTTTAAGCAGTTTTTTAACACACATCTTCGTCCTTATGTTTGTCTTTCCGCTTTTCGGAAGATTGACTATCACGTACGTTCATGGCGTTAAGTTCAAGAAGGCCTCCTCAGCCTTTTGTGATGTAAACACAAGGACACACGTGTGTGCGAAATGATGAAAGCTGAAATGTTTCAGGTGTTAGGTAAACAAATGGTTTACCTGTGTGTTCTACTACTAATACAACTACAATAATAATAATAATAATAATAATAATAATAATAATAATAATAATAATAATAATAATAATAATAATAATATTATTATTATTATTATTATTGTTATTGTGATTTCAAGTCCCAAAATCATGATATATCTTGATGGACGTCATGGTGGAGGGCTCCGAAAATTTCTATCAGCTGTTTTTGCTTAATGTGCGCTGACATCACACAGTGCACGGGCCTGTGGCATTTCGCCTCCATGTAAATGTCCCTGCCGTGACCAAGGTCAAAAAACCCACCTTCTGGTGAGCAGCTGAGGACTATAGTCACCGCTCTACGATGGTGTACTCGCTGTTTAACTTGTTGTATGAGAGCTACAGTTTTTTGCGATTTGTGTTTCTCAGCTCACTCTAAGTGCTAATCTGCTTTTAAAATATACCGTAAAGGGGATAATTTCAGATATGTGGGGAAAAAACAGCTCTAATAAAAAATTGGAGGGCCATGTTGTCAGGTGTTCCCTTTGCATCCTGGAAGAAAGAAGACGAATGTTAAGGGCTCTGTTCTATTCTTTTACGTGCCCAGGTTGATTTATAAGTAATAGTAATTACACGTGTTTTGCATGTCAAAATCACGATATGATTACAAGATACGTTGCAGTGGGGAGGCTTGGACTAATTTAGACCAACTTGGGATTCTTAACGCGCACCTAAATCTAAGCACATGGGCGTCCTCTGCGTTCCGCCTTCATCGAAATGTTGATGATTGATTTGTGGGGTTTAACGTCCCGAAACCACCAAACCACCAGATGATTATGAGAGACGCCGTAGTGGAGGGCTCCGGGTCATCGAAATGTGACCACTGTGGCCGGAAATCAAGCTTTGAGCTTAGCAGAGCATCTTCTTCACTGCGAGGCTACGATGGCGGGTATATAAAGCTAAAAAGGCAATTAAATACTCCTCGGAGAAAGTGGTCTTATACTTAGACTCTCTACTCTATTGAGGGTTGTTATTTTTATTATTTTCATGGAGTATATCTGGTCGCGCAATGTACAAATAATTTAGTTTTTCATCATATCTCTCCAGAGTAGCAGGCTAAGCATGGCGCCAAACACATAACTCCGAGCATCTCTCTCTTATGCGCACAGACGTATGCACACAGCCTCAGAGATAAAACGTTTAAGACAAGGAGTGAGTTGGTCAGCGCACTCCTTTAAAAGATCCAAGTAACTAAGTTGATCCATCACTTAGCAACTTATTAAAGTGCAGTAAAGTGGGCAAACTGTGCGTATAGTTGGGCGCCATTACGTCTCCTTGTCGGTTGCCGTACAGAGCGCTGCGCCACTTAAGCACTAGATGTGTAAGGAAGTTTATCCATAAAAATCGAATCTCGTATTTTTAACGGTGAGCTTTCTACTATGACTACATGCTTGACAGTTACACCCATGTCACGGAAAGGACATTTCGCATTCCAAAAGCAAGTGTAAGTAGGGTAACAGTCAAAGCAGGGACTCTTAAGCTGGCTAGTTCGATTATCACCTTCATTTCCAGCATTATATTTTTTTCTAGAATTTAACTTTGACAGGAGCACTGATACATGCTTTTAGGGGCATCAAGACGCGGCAGCACACACATCCGGCCATGCTTACTTACATAATGCCAACTTCTAGCTTCTTGAAGCGGACAGCTTCTTTGGTTCGGCAGTACTTCAACGATGCCTCCGCACCGTAAGCCGAAGCCACTGGAACGTGAAAAGGTGAAAGTACAGTACATATAACTATCAATGAGGTCAAAAAAAGGACGCAGAAAAGTTGCTTTCCTTACACAATATTTTTTAGCGTTTCAAGGTATGAGAATGTTTAAAGATAGTAGTTACCTTTTCATGTTTTTATTGCTCATCCTATAAAGAGCATACGTTCACAGATGCTAGTACAAGACGCGAACATGACACTCTCCATTGATGTCAAAGGTAGAATGGCGTATCAAGCTCATAATGCGGATAATTTGAATTAAAAATCGCAAAATGTTACCAACAGTGCAATGAGTGCATTTTTTCTCCTCACATTATGTTCACGAGATATTCTTGAATAGCGCGCACACATAATTAACTGGCAAACGAACCGCACTGTAATATCAAAGCTAGCAACGTACCAAGTTTGAAAACCACACAGCAATAGTATTGGTGACACTCACCGCCAGATATGATGTGGTTCATTTCCTTCTGCTGACATGTGGAGGGAATGCAGACTCCTGAACGGCTGCCTACGTGAAAGCGCTCTCGTGTGTTGTTCAACCACAGTCGGATGTCCAGTCTCGGATTCTAAATGTAGGGAAAGCATACAAGTGAGTGTCAACGCTCCGTGAACAAATACTTAGCTATAGTGCACATATTTGAAGGTTAAAGATTATTACATGGGATTCTTTAGTTAGCCTTGTTTTTTAAACATATCATTGTTTCTTCATTGGGTGCGATGTCACAACCAAATGTTAAGTGTTTGAAGCAATAAGACATAACTGCGCATTCATCGATTGCTGACAGGCGCAATAATTACCAAAAACTTCTAAATCTGTCAGTGATGATTTCCGTGGCGAAGACCTACTAGACCTAACTGTGTGGACATCACTAATGAGCGCGATATGTAATGTCTTAAATGAAATGTCAACTGCTTCCACTTGAAGTGCACCGCTATTTTTTGTTACCTTGCAGCCATTTCTTTTAAGCCTTGATTAACACCATGTATTGTAGCTCAGCTTCTAAACAATACTGTAAAAATTTGAACGGACTTTGAAACAGTTCTCTTTGCTGCCTTAAAAACATGCTGTCGTAACTAGCCTAACTTTCAATACTGTTGTCAGTGCTAAAATTCGTACTGGGCGGCTGTCGACGACCATCACCTATGGCAACGTGCCAGTTCACCTCCATTTATTCTTGACCTGCTTTCTTGTCGATTCAAAGATGCCATGAGTACCCCAGCTTCCCCTGCAGCCCTGACGTGGAATCTCCTGACTTCCTTTTATTTCCGTACTTCAAAACCCTCCTGAAGCATTATCATTCGGTACAAATGACAAAGCGAACGTGGCTTGAACCAAGACTTTAAAGGGCATTCCGGAGGATACCTACCGTGACACCTTCAATGCCTGCAAATATTATTGCAAGTGATGTATCGCAACACGCGAAGCCTACATTGAAACATTTCACGGTGCTATACTAATCCGATAAAAACATCTTTTTAGTAGACTTACTGATATTGCTTTTTGGGCATACCCTGTATATTTACATAAACGCGACATCCTGTTCATCAACCCACCTTGTAAGCTTCACAAACCACCTTGTAAGCTTCACGTTTAGTAAGCTTCACGCTTTCTACATATCTCCATAAGAAGCCGCCATGTAAAGGACCGATGTGTCGCAACCATCAAAGTTAAAGTAACACTCGCCCTACAGTCGTTCTCATGGTATGCGCACATCGTCACTCACCAGCAAGCACGCTCACCTTCTTGCTAAATACAGAACGTGTTCCTTCTTTACAGAACATTGCAGAGTATCTTAAGAGCAAGAAGAAGATACGTATGCTACAGCCGATGCCTTGTATGATTGACCCCTACAGTTTAGTGGCTTTGTAGGTGAAAGGAGACGCGGTATTAAAGATAAATTTATATCTGCAGTCAATAAAACCATTCACAAAACCATTTTGCTCGAATACGCTAGCCCAGTCTCTAAATTCAAACACCGTGCTGGAGTTACAAAGCAGGGTATTGGTCAAGCCTTTACATATTCATCCAGGGGTCTCTGTACTTCAGCAGTTTGTAGTACAAAACGGCAATAAGTGAAAAGTATAACCTGGTCTATGAACGCACCCATGTCGAGAAAATGAAAAGGCAAATGATTATCATTAACGGGATTTTATTTAGCAGAGAACAGGCACACAAAGACACAATATTAAAGTCAGAAGTTTGATTAACGGCCGTCTTGAATACTGATATCGGCGTCCATTCTTCAGGCATTAAAGCCCCAGGACAATTTTATTGTGTGTGTTGCATGACAGGCGAAAAAAAATGCACGTCATCTACATGTATGCACGCACTTGTATAGACCATCAACCTGATTTTCATTACTCACTTCTCGTAATTCTTCTTTCGTAAACGCAGCCAGTGATACCTCCGTTGGAGGCCTCCAAAAGAGGGTGCAGTACCTTCCCCGAATGCCCTTGTTCGATTCCACCTTGAGGCACTGGTCTTGGCTGCCGAGGTTGGCAAATCCTCCTTCATACACGCCGTTGGGCATGTATCCGGTTGCTGTGATCACTGCGAACATAGAAACGACTTATCACTGATTCATGAGCACTGAAGACGTAACCTATGATATAATGCGCAGTAAAACAAACCCCCAAACAATGTGAGGGGCAGTATACACATGTACAGCATTTATGAAAGGAAAGCATACAGCACGCCTACAATGATCGATGCACGTACACTTGTGATCTACAGCACGTGCAGCCATGATCACGCGATCAACATCTCGCCGTTATTTTCGAAAACGAAGGAAGGCGTGCGCGCCCACGAAGAAAGATGTGTGCCTCTATCGGAGGCGATAAGGAGCAGAACGCAAAGTGACGGGCAGGTGCCATCGCTGTGTCGTCTTAGGAAATAGTTGGAAACTTTTTGAGCATCGCGTTCCACTGTCCGCGCAGCGTGATAAACGCTATGGTGCTTAGAATTACTTTTGTGTACCTTCGCCAGTAAATAGGCACACATACAAAACATTGGCGTGTTGTTATGGTGCCTCAGATATGCGCAATAATTGCTTCTTAATTGACAATCGCACAAGTATGAACGCTGAAACTTGAACAATGTTGGTGGGCGCTGCGGATGGGATTGGCCGTCTAAAGTATCGTTTGGTCACTTCGGTGCCATAAGAAGGATCGTTACCGCAGACAAACAGACAAACATACAAACAGACAAACAGAGAGACAGACCAAAGTTTTGGCGTCGAAGGTCCCCAAGAAAGACTATCGTCCTTAAAAACAACTTGGGAGCTCACACTAGCAATACAAAAATGGTCAAATCACTCAATGTATACAGTGAATTGCCTCAATAACACATTTAGTTTATATGCTAAACCTTGTCGGGCCAATGGGCCCTTATCTACAGAACGCGCGCTGGAAGGAGGGCGAGAAAAGCATGTGCGCATTGCACATGCGCGGGACGAGTATCAGCTTCCGAAAAAATTGGCAGATCTCACGTACAGTAGGAATCGATGATATGCGAAGCACGAATGAGAAATGTTGATATGCCGCTTTAATATCAGCACAACCTTACGCAGTGGAAGAAAATGATGCCGTACATGACTTCTGTGTCATGATTATCATGTTTGGATTTGTCGTTTACCGTCGTCATCTATTCACGTCACGTGATACGAAATTTAGTATATGTAGAGCTAGCGAAACGGCCGCGAGCACGCTATGACCATGGTATGTTGTCATGCTCTTACATGACGCGCGTCTCAGGATTATCATGTTAGCACCAGTCCTTTATTTCATCATCCATTGACGTCACGTAACACCGAAATTGGTATTTGTGGAGCTAGCAAAACGGCCACGAGCGCAGTATTAAGAGCCCAGTATACTCCTATGTAGCGTTGACGTGCGCATACGCTGGGCACAGCGACGCTACGTTAGCGGAACGCGAGCACTCTATAGTCTGACGTCAGGCGCGACCAGCGTCCGTCAGCGCGGCCCGACGGCAAGCGGCGCGAAATGCTGCATTTCGCGCCGATGACTAACCCAGACAACACAGCGTCTCTCTCTTTTCGCGACGGAGGGCCGCTGGACGCGCTGAAACGCGCATGTGTCAAAGGAACGCAGCGCGGCGCGCGCTTGCGAGTATATGGCAGGACCGGCGGCTGGCGTGGCAACGCCGGCATGATTCGACGAAATGAACGACGGAGGAGGAGGAGGAAAAAACCTTTATTGATGCTGGCTGTGCCAGATAGCCCTTATCCCCACCGGGCTGGTTGACATCCCTAGTCCGGGACGTCATTAGTCGAGGCCGCCACCCGAGCCCGCTGAACTAGAGTTCGCTGTTCCTCTAGTGTGGAGCTATTGAGTAGGGTCATCTCCCAGTCCTCTTTGGTGGGGTTGGGAAAGGGGGTTAACTTTGGGTTCATTTGGCAGGCCCAGACCATATAGTAAGTGTTGGCCACTTCCCCACAGTACTGGCACTGCCCACTTAGTTTTGGGTCATAATATTTTAGTATGGCTGGACAGAGCAGCGTATTTGTCTGTAGGCGCCGCAGGATGCGCTCCTGCGTTTTCGAGAGTCCCTTCGCTGGTGCGGGATACAAGCGGCGTTGCTCAATGTAGTATTTTTTGATTTCTCGAAACCGTGTTAAAGGTGTGGGACGTTCAGGTCTATCAGGGGAACGGGGAGTTTCCCGGGAAGAAGCATGCGGGCCGCTGCATGTGCAGCCTCGTTACCCTGTAGACCCTGATGTCCCGGAGTCCATATAAGACGTTTTGGGGTAGGATCGCTGTTCCTGATGCTGAATTTTAAAAGTCTATTAGCCCATGGAGAAATTTCTCCTGCAAGATAGCTCTCGCAGGCTCTTCGAGAGTCTGTAACTATTTGTTTTGAGTTTGGATGGGATACTGCCAGTGCAATGGCCACCTCCTCCGCCTTACTTGAGCTTGTGGCTTTGAAAGTGAGGCCGTCCACCTGCGTTCCTTGATGTATTACCGCCGCCGTGTAGTATCCCCTAGGTGACGGCCCGGCCACATCGACGTAATAGACCCAATTACGGGAGCCAAGCCGTTGTTCAAGTGCCTGAGCGCGCTTGCCTTCTACCCTGGTGCGCTCCCTGGTCATATTGCGGAGACGCGGGGACACCCAGAGTTTTGTTCTCCAAAGTTCAGTAATACGCTCCGCGTTTTCGATTTCGCATTCGTGCCGGATCAAGAGGCGGTCCAGTAGGCGCCGCCCGGGGGGCGTCTGTGTAAGACGCGTATATTGATTTGTGAGGTGGGCTTCTTGGAGCTCTTGTATAGAGTTAAAGACTCCCAATGCAGAGAGTTTCTGATTTGAAGTGCTGATGGGTAAGTCAAGTGCGCGCTTAATTACTTTCCTAAGAATAGCATCGACTCTGTTCTCTTCGTGTTTAGTCATTCGTAAGTACGGTATTGAATATAGAATCCTGCTAGTTACAAAAGCATTGGCGAACCGAATCGCGTCCCTTCCTCGTAGCCCCCCGCGCTTGTTTGACACTCGGCGGATCATGTGCCGTACCTGTTCTCCAATTTTCCGTAGCTTGTCTAGCGTGGTACTGTTTTTTGTTCTGTTGTGAATCAGAAGGCGAAGGATTCGTAGTTCTGAAACCTCTCGTATTGTTAATCCTGATACCATCAAGTTCAGGGTCGTCCTATCTTTAATGTTTTCTCTGATATGCAGGAATTCAGATTTGGATGGAGCGCACTGCCACCCACACTGGGCCACATAGTCCTCCACAATGGAGGCGGCCTGCTGCAGGCGGTCTTCAATTTCTCCTAAACTGCCCCGATTCGTCCAGATTGTTATGTCATCTGCGTATATTGCATGATATATTCCTTCCACTACTGCCAATGCTTGCGGGAGCTTAATCATGGCAATGTTGAATAGCAGCGGAGACAGGACAGCTCCTTGCGGGGTTTCCCGCGTCCCCATTTTGAATGGTCCATGTTTCTCGTCATCTATGCGAATGAACGCCAGTCTCTCAGAGAGGAAGTCTCCTATGTAGGCAAATATTTTCTTACCGCAATGGACACTACTCAAGTTTTTCAGGATGCTTTCATGTTTAACGTTGTCGAATGCGCCTTTAAGGTCTAGTGCAAGGATCGCTCTGTCGTTGTGCGTCGAGGGAATGGGTTGGATAATGTCTCGTTTTAGTTGGAAGAGGATATCTTGCGCAGACAGGTTTGGCCTAAAGCCAAACATGGAATCTGCGAAATGCCCCTTGCTCTCGAGGTACGTGGCGAGACGGTCTCTAACCATTGTTACCATCAATTTGCCGCCACATGAAGTTAATGATATAGGTCTGAGGTTGTCCGTGCTGATTTGCTTGCCTGGTTTGGGGATGAATGTGACAACTGCTGTTTTCCATTCAGTTGGCAGTGGTTGGCCATCCCAGATCGCGTTAATGTACTGCAATAGATGCCGATAAGAATCGTCTGACAGATTTGCTAACAGTTTTACCGTGATCAGGTCTCGGCCCGGGGCAGTGCCCCTGCGCATTTTTTTCAGTGCTGCTTTCAGATCACACATTTCAAAAGGGGGATCAAGCTGACTGTTTTCTCTACCTGCGTATTCATATGCGTTCCTGTTGGGATCCGTGGTGCGACATAGGTATCTAGCACACAAATCATCAGCCAGCTGGGAGTTGGTTCCCTGAAAACTGTGCAGGGCTCGACGGAGCTGCTTTTGCGCTTCTCCTCGGGTTCGGGCGGGGTCCACGAGAGTTCGAAAAAGGCGCCATGCTTTCCTTGTATTCATTTCTTTAGCTATAACATTGCACCGTTCTATCCAATTGAATTCGTTCAGTTGTGCAGCATATTCATCCGCTTGCTTACTCAACTTGGCTATTCTAAGTTTAAGCTTGCGGTTGAATTTGTTTTTCCGCCAACGTTTAGTTAAGCTTCTGCGGGCGTCTCAAAGGTGGAGCAGGTACTTATCGACGGCGGGGGTGTCTTCCGTTGTCTTTATAGTTTTAAGACACCTGGAATTGGCTGCAAGGAGCTGTTTTGCCCATCCCGTATATCCTCCCGCCCCTGGCACAGAGGGGATCACCTGTGAGCGGAAGGCTGTCCAATCTGTCAGCTTAGCTTGGCTCCATGTTCTACGGCCTATGTTGCCGGAGAGTGTGATTCTGAGGAGACAGTGATCACTGCCGAGCGTTTCTTCTAAGTTTTCCCATGTTGCGTAGGAAATGTTCTTAGTCAGTGATAGATCCGGGCAAGTATCTCGGTTTACAGAATTCCCGAGTCTAGTGGGTTTCATTGGATCTGTGAGAAGCGATAGACGAAGAGTGGATATGAGTTCTGCCAATTTCCGTCCCTTGGGGACTTCGCGGGTGTAACCCCAATGATAGCTGAGGGCGTTAAAGTCACCCAAAATCACCAGTGGGTTCTTATCTGCTTCCTTAATCGCTTTATAAAACATTTCGTTGAAGACACATTGCCTAGACTTTGGAGAACTGTATACATTTAGAATGTACAAGCTAGGATCTCGTCTTTTATTGGGAAGGACTTTGGCCATTGTGTATTCATGCGCCTCTGACA